ACTGTGAGGTGACTGTGAGGTGACTGTGAGGTGACTGTGAGGTGACTGTGAGGTGTCTGTGAGGTGACTGTGAGGTGACTGTGAGGTGTCTGTGAGGTGACTGTGAGGTGACTGTGAGGTGACTGTGAGGTGACTGTGAGGTGTCTGTGAGGTGTCTGTGAGGATGCGTCTAGGAAGTGTCTCGGAAGTATCGGAGAGGGATCTTGGAATTTTCTCGGAAGCGTCACCGGGTGGAGGAGGCCGGCAGAGACGAGCGGGTAGATGAGCCAGCCGAAGGCGCCGAAGAAGGCGAGGAAGGTGGAGAGGACGGTGTAGAAGAGGGCCTGGGGCGCCATCCGGTTCGCCAGCGCAGAGTACAGCACTGTGAAGGCCACTGCGCCGGGTTGAGGTGAGGTGAGGTGAGGTGAGGTGAGGCGAGGGGCGGTGACACAAAGGTGGCGGGGCAAGGGCCAGGGCAGCCCTCGCATCTCCCCGCCCGGACGCGGGCAGGGGCTGGCACGGCGTTCAAAGTGCAAGGCCCGGTGCGCGTGTGTCCGGTGGTGCGCGTGGGGCGAGCAGACCGTGGCGTGGCCTCCGAGCCGGCGTCTAGCTGGTGATACGGTGTTTGCTCGCCTTCCCTGGGACCCCGTGTTGCGTGTCTGGCGGCCAGTGTGCTGTCATGATTTCGACACCCCGAGGCTGTGCTGTTGTGTGAGCGTGCCTGCGCCCGGCAGGTTGACCCACGTCTTGAGGAAAGGGATCGCCTCGGCAGAGGAGCCGGGCGCCTGCGCGGGGCGGGAAGTAGGGTGGGGCGGGACGGGGCCGTCGAGTCGAGAGGGGGAGAGACAGCCGAGGCTCGAGAGCCAGAGTGGAGACGAGGGAGAGAGGGCGTGGCGCCGTCACGACGAGGACGTCCTTGGTGTCGCGCAGGATGGTGTAGTTGAAGAGGATGCAGAAGAACATGATCGCCAGCGGGACGATCTTGCGCAGCTCGTTCGCCGGCGGCAGCCGAGCCCGCCACCCGCTCCGCTGCGGCTCCGGCTCAGGCACTGCGGCCGCAGCGGCGAGCCGGGCTGGAGCCGCCCGCGTGTGCAGCGCCGGCCGGAGCGCGAGTGGAGCAGACGCGAGGGAGGTGGAGGGCAGCCGCGGCCGCACGCCGCTGCCGTGCCACGCTATGCTGGCGGGGAGGCACAATAACGCGCACGCGAGGGCGCGCGGAGACCGCAACGCCATGGCCGAGCGGGTCTACGTGGTGTACAGCGAGCTCGCAGGAGGTGATGAAAGCTGCCTTTTTTGTTTTGAGCTTAGCCTTCGAGGTTATGAAACAACGCAACGGGCTCACAGACATCCCTCACACCCGCCGCACACCCGCCGCCCCCGCGCGCGCCCCACCCCGGCCGGGAGAAAGGGGAGTGACAGTTTGGGATTACGAGCCCGAGTATCGCGATCTCGGGCGATCTCGGGCCGCGCCGCGCGATCTCGGGCGATCTCGCGCTATCTCGGAGCTCCACGCCACGCCGCTCCCCCCCCACCCACCCCCACCTCACCCACCGCCGCGCCGCGCTGTCTCGGGCGATCTCGGAGCGTCTCGGGCGATCTCGGAGCGTCGCTCGCGCAGGGGCACACTCTAGGTCTTCGTGACTCCAACCCCGCCCACCGCCCGCGCGTACGCCACCGCCGCCTCCACCGCCGTGTCGAAAAAGCCAAAGTAACAGCCTGCC